GAACTCCTGACCTCAGGTGATCTGCCCGCCTTGGCCTCCCAAAGTGCTGAAATTACAGGTGTGAGCCACCACACCTGGCCAAATGTTGCCAATCGTAAGATGCTACATGCTATATAATTCCAACTATATGACATTCTGAAAAAGGCAAAACTATGGAGACAATAAAAAGATCAGTGGTTGTCAGAGGTTAGAGGGCAGGAAGGATGAATAGGTAGAGCACAGAGGATTTTTAGGGCACTGAACTTATGCTGTGTGATATTAGTCATTATACATTTGTTAAAGCCTATAGAACATGCAACATCAAGAGTGAACCCTGGCCGGGCGCGGTAGCTCATGCCTGTAATCCCAGCACTTTGGGAGAACGAGGTGGGCGGATCACAAGGTCAGGAGATCGAGACTAGGGTGAAACCCCGTCTCTACTAAGAAAAAAAAAAAAAAAAATTAGCCGGGCGTGGTGGTGGGCACCTGTAGTCCCAGCTACTCAGGAGACTGAGGCAGGAGAATGGCGTGAACCCAGGAGGTGGAGCTTGCAGTGAGCCGAGATTGCACCACTGCACTCCAGCCTGGGCAACAGAGCAAGACTCCATCTCAAAAAAAAAAAAAAAAAAAAAAAGAGTGAACCCTAATGGAAATTGCAGGCTAGATGGTCTCTGAAATCTCTGCCAACTCAGAGATTAGATTCTGTGGTGGAATTTGATATGACGTAGTCTCCTGAATCTCTGTGGATGACATGTAAGATAAGAAGGACGCCATCTGCATGCATCTGTACAACACCTCTGTGCATTATTCACAAATGAGCAGAACTATACATTTCTCTCAAAAGAAAATGAAAACTAGTGTAGTGGATAACGATTATTCATTCTGAATTCCTAGTTATGTGACATGGAACATGAGATTTACTTTAAATAGAGCATGAAATTGAGATAAAGTAAAATACACTAACAGACTCATTTTTTAATAAGGATGTTGGATGTCAATCACTGAGATTTAACTTCTTTAGTAAGAAATAGCCTGGAATAAATGTTTCTAATAACAGGAGATTCTAACTTAGTAAGAAATTGGTCCAGGAAATGACTTTTTAACTAGGCAAATGAATGGTTTGGGAACCTTCTCCTTTGTATCTGGTCCTTGGCTCATTTGCACTGTGTTGGGAATATGTGTATTACTTCCATTTGTCATCAATGAACTTTTCTTTCATTTGAATTTAAGTCCATGCTGCCTCTTTGGCTGCACCATTCCCCTCCTTCCCCCTTGCACGATTTGGAAAAATCTCAATATTTCAAAAAGAAAAAAACCAAGCAAGGACCTTCTTTCACAAAGTGTTAGCAGCATAGCATACTAGAAATAACCACACCTTAATGCCAAACCTACCCAGAATGCTGTGAGAAGGACTGTCAGGAGCAAACATCCAAAACCTTTTGTAAAATTCCTGGGGTGACAAGTTCATACACCAAAAAGGAGATTTTTAATCACACTCAAAAAGTTATGCATTTGAAACTCTGCTCTCTATATGAGAACTTTTTTAAATATTTAAAATATAACCATTCTCAGAGAAGGGATAACAGTACTAATTCTAAGATTGAGGAAAATTATATAGACCTTTCTGTAGCCAATATTTTACTTTCAATGAAAGAGGCCACCTGTCTTAGGTTGTATTCCCTGGGAACAGACTCTGAGAGGGAGAATTGCAGGCAGATAATTTGTCAGGGAGTTCTCTGCAGAAATATGTGCATGCACATGTAAGGAAGTGAGAAAGGCAAGATTGGCCAAGAGGAGAGGTCCTCCCCAAATGTGTTTGCAACTGAGGCCTTGGCACATCCTGCAGGAAACCCTGAAGATGGGATGGTCTGTCAGTTTTGATGCAAATGGAAGCAAGGAGTGGGCTTTTGTATCTCTGTATTAGCCAGACATTAGGATCCTCACTGGGAAAGGGTCTAACCTTGGCAAGGCAATTCCTTCACTGAGGGTAATTCCCAGTGTGTATAGTCAGCAGCCTGTGTTCTCCACAGTCAGGGTACCATGGCCTGGAGTAAAGCATTCCAGCATCTGTTAGATCAAGTGACTCTATTTTTATTGTCAATAGCAAAATATGCTGTTGCTTTTTGTTTGTAGTCATTTATGTCTGTTAATGTCAAAAACATAAATACTGTTAGTTTTTGATGACCCTGTAAATAGTCTGCAGACAAATTTCCATAAACATATTTACATTTCTGTACACTCGGACTTTCCTGAGCAAAGGGCACTGACACCTGAATTAAAGGGTGATTGTATATTAACCCTAAAGGCCAGGCGCGGTGGTTCATGCCTGTAATCCCAGCATTTTGGGAGGCTCAGGAGTGCAGATCACTTGAGTTCGAGACCAGCCTGGCCAACATGGCAAAACCCATCTCTACTAAAAGTAAAAAAATTAGCCAGACGTGGTGATACATGCCTGTAATCCCAGCTACTTGGGAGGCTGAGGCAGGGGAATTGCTTATATCTGGGAGGCGTAGGTTGCAGCGAGCCGAGATCACGCTACTGCACTTCAGCCTGGGCAACAGAGCAAGACTTTGTCTCATGCAAACAAACAAACAAAAAACAACTGTTAGCTTGCAAGTAGTGCAACATCTCAGATCTTTCACAGTTTACAACTTAACAAGTGGAGCTCTGTAGACTGAGAGTGTGGCTCTACTTATAAAACTAGATACTTTTAGCAATAACATATTCATCCGAAGAATAGTTTATGTGTTCACAGCTCTGTTCTTAAAATACAAAAAAGTGCAAAAATTCTTAATAATGAATATTATATACACAAATAACTGTATGTACCAGAATGTGAGTCAGGAAGCTTTCCATTTCACCAGAAAGAAAGAAAAACAAATAGATTACTTCAACCATTCAAGGGAGAGAGCTCCAGCTAAGGAGATTGAGAAATGTCTTGGGGAGGTGGGAGTATCTTGGCTGAGGCTTGAGGAGTAGTGAGAAGCAAAGATCAAAAAAGCGTGTTATTAGACTTATGATTCTTTAAAAAAGCATGTTATTAGACTTAATGAATTATATAATTTATTAATAAGGAGGAATACTTATTGGATACTTATATACAGGCACTAAGCTAAATGCATTAAATGAATTTTTTTCTGATTTATATCTTCTAAAAACCTTTATGAGATGTTATTACTTTTCTTGGAGAAATTTATTAACTTACCTAAGTTGAACAGGTGACAAGTCGTGGAACAGGAATCTACAGCAGTTGGATGGCACAAAGTATGCTCAAAGCACACTTCTCCACCATTTGGTCAGAGGACTCAGCTAGGCGAAGGCTGGGAGGCAAGAAATCCCTGCATTTTTGAAAAACAGTAGATAGTTTTGTTTGTTTAGTAGTGATTAGGGTTGAGGCACATGAAACTTGGTAAGCAGGGGAAGGCCATGATATATAGAGTTTGGCTTCAGGAAGTTCCTGAAGGCTCCTCACGAAAGCAACCAACAATATGCTTTAGGAACTTTAATCTGGCACCAGGGTTAAGAAGGTTTTGAAAGTGGATGACTAGTTGAGGCACAACCGTTGGAAGGCTGGTGCAATATAGTCCTGGCAAGCACAAGTGGTGCAATGCCCACCGATCGTAAAACTCAAGGTCTAAATGCCTAGTACCAACTCCTGTTTCAGGATAAGTCCTCCAATCCACTGGGCTTCTGGATCTTCATCTACAGGAAGTCTTCCTTCCGAATCTGGAATTCTAGCAATTTAGAAAGACAAATTGAAGCATTATGTTGGTGCAATAGTAATTGAGGGTTTTGCCATTAAAAGTAATTGCAAAAACCGCAATTACTTTTGCACCAACCTAATAATTTCATGAACACAGAGACAGGGATGAGTGAGTAAGTAAAAGATACTTTAGAGTTGGAATTGAATGAACATAGAAATTTATTAAATGTAAAGGGCAAAGAGAAGAAATTGGAAGACTGCAAGATTTTAAGCCTAGGCACTCAGAAAAGTCAATGGAAATAAGAAGCCCAGGAAGAGGGTGGGAAGGCAATTAGAATTCATTTTAGATCTATTGATTTCGAGATGTTAATGAGCTATGCAGAAGACCCACTGATAAAAGAGCCCCAGAATCTAGAAGAAGGATCCTGACTGGGATCCAGACTTGGAAGCTATTTTCATAGACAGGCAAGTAGATGAGATTGCTTAGGAACCAACTGTGGAAAGGAGGACAGGAAATCAATCAGAGTCAGCTATAGCTACACTTAAAGGAAAAACAGAGAACTGGGTTCCAGGCAAGAAGGGATCAGAGAGACAGAAATTCACAGGAGGCCGGGGAGGAGAAGTTTCTAGAACAAAGGCCTGTCAGATCAAGGGTTAAGTGCTCTGGAGAGCTCCTTGGTCTAAAAATTCAAGTGCTCAAAAGAGTGGTGCTGATATAAATCAGGGGTTTCAGAGGGATGAGATGGGGTAAAACACAGCACAAAATACAGTGCAAGTGCAAAATACAGAGGATATGTATATCAAAATATAGAAGCATCTTGCTTTTTACCAAGTCAGTGCAAAATGACTTGGTAAAAATCACCAGAAATGGGGCAGGTATTTTTCTAATGATCCTCTTGCATTAGAATCAACCAGGAGTGATGGATGAAAATGCAGATTTGTGGGCCTCCTTCCAGAAACGCTGAGTCATAATCTCTGGGGTGAATGCTTTGTGTATCTTCTTTTTAAACACCATTGTCCCTCGATAATTCTTTTGTGTGTAGGCCAGGCTACATACATTCAACCTGTTTTTCAAATGATTGGAGGGAGTCAGTAGACAGAGATTAATAGAAGAGATGGAAAAGCTGGCTGATAGGGAGTAATCCTGAAAAGGCAAATGGTACCTGGAGAACGAGCAGAAGGATCAGCTCAGGGAGACTCTGCCTGTGTCCAGTGACATCCTGTTTATTGGGACTCTACAAAGTGGCTCTGTGAAGTTTCTGTGTGTGTGTGTGCGTGCGTGCTGCCTCTCTTGGTAATAATATCCTGCCCTCTACAGTGACAGCCTTGATGCCAGAGATGTACCACAGACTGAAGCCTCCACAGAAGCCAGAGCCCCCGATGAGTCCCCCAACCCTCCAAGCAGCAGTGAGGAGAGCACAGGCAGCTGGACCCAGCTTGCCAATGAGGAGGACAACCCAGATGACACAAGTAGCTTTCTGCAGCTCAGTGAGCGATCCATGAGGTACCTGCTCTTCCCTTGACTTCCCGGGGAAATTGGTCTCAACACAGATTCTAAAAAATGCACTTTAATGGTTCTCTGCAAAGGGTCTCTAATAAAGAGAGGAGGAGAGAACAAAAAAAAGGAAAGTTCCCACTATGTCAAAGTGCCTGCCTGTCATGATTTGTGTGCTGAGAGGTATCTTAACATCCAGTTATGGCTTAAATTTCATTGGCCGTGATTAAGAATGAGCTGCGTTCCCTTCCCTGCAAGCCCCAGCTAGTACATTCTGTGATAACAACTAAAAATTTTTTTCAGTGGTGAGCTGCTTTTACACCTGGTGTGTTTGATGCTCTGTCTCTGGTTCGTTTGTATTTCAGATGCAACACAGGCTGGGTTTACACGAGGCAAGTGTTTCCACACTGTGTTCTATTGTTTGACCTGACTGTTCCTCCCTCCAGCTCCCCTGCCTCTGTATTGTTCCTCCCACAAAGCCAGAGAGGAGATTAGGAGACATCAGATCTGGAAGGGCTCAAGCCAATCAGGAGACATTAACTAAAAACTATTCCCCGTTGAGGTGGAACCTCTAAAAGACTCCCTGTGTTTCTGCCCAAAATCTCATTTGATACTGGACCGCAGGCTTTGTACAGAGGCCGACTGGAAAATGGGATCGGCATCTGGGTGTATGTATGACTCTTGGAAAGTTTTATTTCTGGGAGTTTAGTCTGTTTAGACTTCACATTTCACAATGTTAAACGGTTTGTCAAAACTTCTAAAACTAGTGGAAAGTATTACAAGATAGAAACAAAAAGCAAAGAGAACTTGAATCTTTGGACTCAACAGTAAGGTTTACAGGGTTGATTACCTCCAGTGCAATTTTGAGTCATCAGGTTTCAATATGTGAATATATCTGGTGTCCCCCTCAAAAGCTAAGACAAGAATTTAAAATTGAAGGCATCCAGTTGATGTTTTCTACTCTTAGAGTACCATCTACTCTTGGTATATTCAGAAGAAAACTGTCCCACCACATGATGCACCACCACTCACCCTTTGAAAGCCTTGCTTGAAAGAGACGTCACTGGAAACAGAGAAGGTGTGAGGAGACTGAGTGGTTTGGTAAAATTGGATATATTTCATTTTACAAGCACAAACAGAGCCTAAAAATTGGCTCAACTTTGCTGTGTTTCAGTAAGTTCCAGGCTAGTAACTAGACCATATGTTGATTGTGCAGCCTATGAAAATGATGCAATCTGGGTCCTCCTTCTCTACAATAAAAAAGGTACCAGGTATTGCTCTTTCTTGAAGATTGTAATATAAAGGACCAATAAAACATTGACATTGCCCAGCTTTGTACTTGGGGTTCTGTAGTCTCATAGGAAAATAACAAGCCAGATGCTTAGCCTGTGAAATCCTATGGGATGTCCCTGAGAAAATCCCCCAAATGGCAAAGGGAGAACATGAGTCCACTGGTTTCTGTCAAAACTGGTTTCTGCCAGCCCATGTTTTCAGAAGTTCCTTCATCTCTGTAGGTGTCCCCAGCAGCAAGAAATCTCTTGCCAATAGATAAATACCTTCGCTGTAACTAGAATGAAGAAATGAGGCATACTGATTGTTATAACCTGGGTGTGATCTACCAGCTGTGATACCACTTTTTGAAGTGTGATACCACTTTTTGTGTGGTAATATCACAACTTAGTATTATTCACAAATTATTAGTAGTATTATTAGTATCTGCTGAGCCTGTTAGGCTTATGTCTCATTATGATTTCTCTTAATTTGGTCAGAAATAAATATTAATTGAGGTGTCCTAGGCACAAAGCGATATTCTTCTGGGGACCAAAGGAAGGAGCTTGTACAACAATGGAACATCACTGTCAGCAGCATGTTAGGGGCTGGAGACGGGCATTAATATGTAAACTTTTGCTTTGTCAGCAATGGCAACAGTAGTGCCACTAGCAGTCTTGGCATTATGGACCTGGACATTTATCAGGAAAGCATGCCATCTTCTCCCATGATTAAGTAAGTAGCCACTGAGATGCAGTGATTGTGAGACCACTACTCCAATTCCATCTGGCAATTCATTTTGATCATTCAGGGTGTGCCCAACCACTGACCTCATCGTGTCTGTACTGCTCTGGTTCCATGTCACTGGAGCAAGAATTCAAGCCTAGAATAGGCCCTGCCCTGCCACCACCTGCTTTCTGGGTTTCAAATCTGCCCCCTGTGGAATAATTATGTCAGATAAAACTTATCAATATGATCTGAAGTGTATGTCATTTTACCTACCTAGAAACAGAAGCAAAAATCCATTTAAATTATACCATGCCAACTAAAGAAGACTACTCAATAGTCTTCACTGTGAAACATCATCACTTCAGTCAAATCAAATGTGAATGGCATTTCCTTTACATGTAGAAACCTGGGATTATCACTACTAAATGTGTCTAATATTAAATGGTTGTCATGATGGATATGTGTCATTCTCACCCAGTGACTATGCTCTCCACAATATGGGGACTTCCTTAAGACCAAAGGAAAAAAGGACTTAGAGAAGGACGAGTACTTCTAGGAAGTACATGCATCCTAAAATATGCCGCAGAAAGAGAGGGCAACATGAGGTCAGGAGTACTTCTAGAATATGTGGTTATTCTGGAAAATTAAAATGATTGAAATCTATTTTTGACCATTGTGATTTAGCTTATGATTTGGAGATTTCTGAAATTTCAGAACAACAATAAGTGTAGACTAAAGTTGCTCCCTGACCTATTTTCTCCATCACTATCTATAACTACAGCACTTTTATTTCACCATTTAACCAGGTGTGTTCCTCAGTGATTGAGGGTGACCGTGCATCCTTTGTTGCTCCACACAGCCATTATTCAGTGGAGATGAACGTACACATTATCTTGGTTTTTTGTTTTGTTTTGTTTTAAGAAGAAACCAAAAACCAAAACAAACAAACAAAAACTACCTTGGGGTAAATTTATTTTTCTCTTTCAGGAAACATTTATTTAGCCACTTTTCCCAACTTTCTCTGCAGTATGAGCCTATGAGCCTATGACCCCAGGGAAAATCTGTATTCTAAGAAAGCCAAGAAATCACCTCCATGGTCAGCATCCAAAACAGCAGAAACTGTGCCTCCCATTTGTCATATCCCCAATGTCACTTGCATAGAGATCTAGAAGAAAATCTAGATCCTTGAAAAATTAACATTTCTGCAAATAAATACGTATGAATGAAAGAATTACTATACTCTTTCTCTTAACATCAGGAACTCAATGGAATTTTTCAGCCATATCTTAGCAGTAACAGAATGAGAGAATTGTCTATCATCAAACAACACATTTTTAAGGGCTCCTGTACTCCAATTTCTAGACACGACAAAAATATAGGACAAACCACAGGCTTCCCAGGATAGCCACTTCCTTTCAGCTGCTGGCCATATGTTCTTACTTTAGAAACATTTACCAAGTCCTCCCACTACGTGCAAGGCTCTGTAATAAGTACACACCATATGAAAACACCTCCGATATTGAACTCTACCATATCTAATGAAATACTTCAGTTATGAGTCCCTCATTCTAAACCACCCAGCCTACTACACTTCCCCAATAAAAGGAAAGAAAAAGAAAAATTTTAATTGAGATATTTTTCTGTCAAATAGTTCTGCAGTTTGTTGGTTGTCTTTTTTCTTTTTCTTTTTTTTTTTTTTTGAGATGGAGTCTTGCTCTGTTGCCCAGGCTGGAGTGCAGTGGTGCGATCTCGGCTCACTGCAAACTCCGCCTCCTGGGTTCGCGCCATTCTCCTGCCTCAGTCTCCCGAGTAGCTGGGACTACAGGTGCCTGCCACCACGCCCGGCTGATTTTTTGTATTTTCGGTAGAGACGGGGTTTCGCCATGTTAGCCAGGATGGTCTTGATCTCCTGACCTTGTGATCCACCCGCCTCGGCCTCCCAAAGTGCTGGGATTACAGGCGTGAGCCACCACGCCCAGCCAGTTGTCTTTTTTCTTATTTCAGATCAAAGAATCATATACCTGTAAAATTATTTTTTAAATAAAATAAAAGCTATGTTGCTATTGTAGTATAGAAAAAAAAACATAGTGATAAGATGGGAACATATGATTCATTAACATGAAAGTCAAATGCGGAAGACTAAATCTCCAAATCAGAAGAGTTACCCACAAAATCTCTTTGATTTTTTAAACCTATGAAGGTTTATGGTAAGGAGGTTGAAGAGAAGAGAAGGATGCATCTTTCAGTCTCCCACACCAGCTATCCTAACTAAAGTAACTTGAGTTATCTGGCCTGTTGTTGTTGGAGGACATTTATTGCAGACCCAGTGATCCTACATAATAGCCACATTGGTATTTTCCCAGCATTACTCCACTCTACAAAAACAATAAATCCAGAATGAACTTCAGAAACCTTTAGATCAGTAAGACCCATCGCCTCATCTTTCATTTACAGCTTATTCTTCTAAACATGACCAATCATATACTGTTGTTTTCTCCCAAAGTGAATTACTGGAAGAAAAGGAGACTCTTAAAGAACAGTCAGAAAGCATAGAGGGTAAGCCACCTTCCCGTACTTTTGACACACAATTTCCTGGGCTCTCCCTTTGGAAAGAGGGATAAGGCTGTGGTTGTGTCTGTGCCCAGCGCCTGCATCTGGACTGCCCATGGGAACAGCCAGCCCCCAGAGGAGCCTGCTGGTGATCAACTTTGACCTGGAGCCAGAGTGTCCAGATGCCGAGCTCCGAGCCACCCTGCAGTGGATAGCTGCCTCCGAACTTGGAATTCCCACCATCTACTTTAAGAAGTCTCAGGAAAACAGAATTGAAAAGGTATCATGTTCCAGGTTTGGGTATCAATGAAGCTTTGTGTTTTTATCACCACTGGAAACTCAGTAAATGCGCAGTTAACCTATTTCCATTTGAATTATTTGATGCTGACTGTTCTGGACCTTAAAATTGTAGCTAGAACATTGAAATCTTCCACCGGTGTAAATATAATATAATTAGCATTTCTTTGATCCTTACTTTGTCTTGGCTAGTAGGTGGTTGTAAGAAAAGCAAATTGGGGGGTTGGGAACTTTTTTAGAGTCTCTTAGTTTTTGGTGTTTTCTTGCTCTGGGACAAATTTCTTCATAGCACTCCTTTAAATAAAAGAAAGAAAGAAGAACCTGATATATAACAGAAACCAAAGTGAAGCCACACTAACATCTAAAACAGGCCAAGAAAAGGCATTTTTAATTCCCTTCCAAACAGATTTGCATTAGGAAGACTTTTTATTTATTATTCTCCACCTCCCAGAAATATAAAGCTAGGCAAGGGATCCTTGGCCAACAACAAAATTATTTGTAACTATCACTCTAATTCTATATCTGTAACTGTGGTAGAATCTTAGCTATTAAGAGTAAGGCATGAATCTGTCTGCCAATGTCTTCAAGCTCAATTTTCCATAGTTTAAAAGTAGACTCGTTTTAAAAGATTTCAAATTAAACATATTAGTTTTCTATTGCTGTGTAACAAACTGCCACAAATTTACCAGCTTAAAACAGCACTCAGCTCCATAGGTCTGAAATTAGGGTGAGTTCCATTGTAATCTTTGCTATAGGTTTTACAAGGCGGAAATTAAGGCATTAGCCTGACTAGGCACTTATCCAGAAGTTCCAGGGAAGAGAAAGAGTCCAAGCTCGTTCAGGTTGTTGTGCTAACTCAGTTTCAGGTGGTTGTAGGACTGAGGTCCTATTTCCCTGCTGGCTGTCAGCAGAGGGCCGCTCTCAGCTCCCAGAGCCACCCACATTCCCTGTCACATGGCTCCTTTATGTCCTTTTGGTATCAATCTCTCTGATACCTCAGCCACCAGCCAGAAAAAGCTCTGTCTTTAAAGAGTTTGTGTGATTAGGCCAGGTGTGGTGGCTCATGCCTATAATCCCAGCCGTTTGGGAGGCTGAGGTGGGCAGATCACCTGAGGTCAGGAGTTCAAGACCAGCCTGCAACATGGTGAAACCACATCTCTACTTAAAAAAAAAATAAAAATAGCCGGGCGTGATGGCAGGCACCTGTGATCCTACCTACTCAGGGGGCTGAGACAGGAGAATTGCTTGAACCCAGGAGGTGGAGGTTGCAGTGAGCCGAGATTTCACCACTGCACTCCATCCTGGCATCCTGGTGGCAGAGTGAGACTTGAGACTTTGTCTCAAAAAAAAAAAAAAAAAAAAAAGAATATGTGTGATTAGATTATAATCACCTGATGGGTTTCTGATTAACTCAAAGGTAACTGATAAATCCTTTTTGCCATGTAAGGTAGCGTAAAAAGGGTATGATATCTCATCCTATTCATAGTCCTAGGGATTAGGGTGAAAAACCTTGAGTACTGTTTTAGGATCCTGCCTATCGAGCCACCGGGTAGGATTTTCATGTCTTGTTGTCACAAGGTGCCTCCATGTGCCTCATCCTACTTGCTTCTCAACAAGCCTGTGAAAAAACAGAACAGATATTATTGTCCCTTTTTGACTAAGGAGCAAATCAGGTACATGAACGATTTCCCAGGCCAAGTCCCTGCACCCTGCTTTCTCCATAAAATACTTCTCAGTAGTTCTTTACTTTGAAAGGACCTTTCTCAAGTTAAATGACCTTGGGTTTACAATCTGGATTTTTTTTTTTAACTGTGTAATTGCATTTTAATTATCTGTGCCAAAATCTAGCAGGCTGAAATGGAATGTTCTTTACCTTCTTGCCCCTGCTTACGGTAGTTAGAGCAGTTTCTCTATTTCTGCATCACGAGTCCATGGGATCGACTACAGGAAAAATTGAAAAGGAGACCTGATTCGTTGTTCATACCCTCTCTCACTTCAACCTTTTTCCAACTGGTAATTAATACGTCCTTTCATGCCTATGCCTGCCTGCTGTTATACTCAAAATTATTCTAGGCACCTTGCTATACTTGTCATACTTTCATTTACAAGGTATTGAGAGGTTCACTACTTGATAAATTCTCCTCCAACCTTACCACTCAGCTGCAAAGGGTGCAATAAAAAAACACAATCACATGTGAGCCTACGCCCATGCCATACACTGTCCCAAAGACCCTCTGCTACATAGAGGAGAGAAAAGCATTCTCAGGAATACATTCCCAGGCTCATGGGAAAATGAAAGATGAGCTGGTTCCAGCTCTATCGCCTGCCGCTTACTGAATAAGAGTATGACATGGTAGATTTTCAGGTGGTACCTTAATGGAATAGATGTTTATACAATGTATCTTCTTGAAGAAACAATGTTATATGAATATATGTCTCAGAAATCCCCAGTCGGTGCAAGGGTAAGAGGTGTCTCACAAACACCTGGGTTACATAAATCATGCCCTGACTTGGTATTTGTTTATCCCAACCTGATTTTCAATTCTCAAAGATAATACTTGTTTTTGGATATAACTCTTTTTCTGAGAAAATAGATATTCCGCTAATATTATTAAGAAGGATATTAAATGATATTTCACTCATTCAATTAGCACCAACTCAAGAACTTTAATTCTAAATAATGTAATTTTAGGAATAAAATCTTCTAATTTTTTTTGAGTCATCTAAGATTCTCTCCAAAGTCCATTGTATCATTCTTATGCCTTTGCATCCTCATAACTTAGCTCCCACTTATGAGTGAGAACATACAATGTTAGGTTTTCCACTCCTGAGTTACTTCACTTAGAATAATAGTCTCCAACTTGATGGTATTGACTTTTGACTTAACTTTGCAAATACGAAGACAAAAAAACTACAGTTAAGGTTATTAGTTTCAAAGAAACTCATCGCGAAGGAAGGGGAAAATTAGGAAGAATTCAATACTGAGGCGCTTCATCTGTAATCATAATAAAGTGCCTTGAACTGATTTCTTTAGTCAGATTTAGTGCATGTTAGAGTCACGCAGGGAGGTTTTACAAACTCCAGCGCTCCAATCAATTAGATTAGAATCTTCTCCGGCAATGCTGCCCAGGCATCAGGGTTTTGTAAAGGTGCCTGGGGTTCCAGGGTGCAGCCAAGGCTAAGGCTGGTAGCTCTACGGGCCTTAATTGCAGGAGCAATGTAAGAACCAACTCTCTTATGCTTAATGCAATCTAATTCTGCCTTGGAGCAAAAGGATGTAGTTGCTTTCAGAAACCTAAGTTGAATGTTTCCAAAAAATTACACAACTTGCAACAACTCCCATAGATTTCATGATACAATTTTGTAAACAATTAATCTAATTTATTAAATGCACCTGAGAATATAAAAACTATCTCCTATGTGATTCTTTTCTTCAAACGAGTCTGCAGATGATAGAATGTAAATTCTTCTAGTTTCCTAAGACAAAACATTCGAAATGCCAACTATGATTTAAGGGAAGGGAACCTCATTATTACTGATTGTGAAATGGCAGAAAATGAAATATTTTCATTTTTATTTTTCAATACCATTGAAAGAAAACTCAGATCCTGACATGCTAAAGCTGATTGTGAAAATACCCAGGCAATAGCATGAACAGGCACAATGAGAGCTCTAGGAATTGCTGCTAAATGGGACGTGGTTTTAAAATTTCAGCCCAGTAAAGAACTAGAATGTCCTTTTCTGACTTCTTCACAATCATTTTTCATTCTTACCTTTTTTTAATGGAAGAAAAGAAGACATGAGATCTTCTTGCTCATCAGCCCCAAAGATGTTTCCAGGTCTCAATATCCTAGATTAAGTCATCACAGCCTCAGAGCATGCTCTATGTAGTGGGGCCAGACCATTGTTAACTGCCACTTTTTTGGGATATCAGCCTGGACTTAGAAATCATGACAGATTCCAGCTTGTGACCACACCACAAACTCTACGCAGAGTGGCCTGGCTGGTGGGTTATTTTGACAAGTTTGGAGAGACTCTCCTTCACAGGCCCCAAATAGATGGAAAGAAGCTGGTGTTAGGGCTTCTGGAAAGGTATGAGGCAGGGAGAATTCTGGGAAAATATTGGCATCTGCTCCAAAGCTTTGATTCTTCCCCCACCCAGACAGTGACTCAGAGATAAAAGCTGGGGATAAGGTGGTGGTCCCGTGAGCCACGGTTTACAGAAAGGAGCCAAGGCAAATGTCATGTTTCCATCGATGGAATCTTTTCAGACTTGCTAAGTAAAAGGAGGCACCAAGACTACTGGGGATGCTTTAGGGAAATCTCGAGAAACAAATCAACAACCTGTGAGCGTCTCCCAGTGAGACCTCAGAAACTCAATGTCCCCACCTTCTGCACTAGGAGCTCTACTTTCTAGATCTCCAGTAAGAGCTGGAGAGTGAGGAAAAGCCTGCTTAGTGGAATCATACAAAAGCTGTCATTTTAGCCTTTCTCCCCTTTATTCCCTTCAAGATCGCTATTCCAAAGCCACATGTCATCATCCCTTTGTTCAATCAAAATCGTGGCTTGGATCTTACATACACTCTTAGATAACAAGTAACAGCTCACAAAATTATTTTTATGTATCTCCATAAATCACTAATAGCTGCTTGAAATGTTCCCCTTCCCAAAAGTATTTTCATCATTAGCAAAGCTTTAACCTAAAGGGTTTGTACTCTGTTCCTAAAATGTCAAGAATCAGATGGACAAGAAGCTCAGAAGGGTGGTGAGAGGTCCCAGGCAATGAATACTTTCTTTTAAATTTTTTCTTTCTTTCTTTCTTTCCTTTTTTTTTTTTTTTTTTTTTTTCTGTTCCTAGAAATGTCAAGAATCAGATGACAAGAAGTTCAGAAGGGTGGTGAGAGGTCCCAGGCAATGAATACTTTAATTTTTTTTTTTTTTTTGAGATAGAGTCTCACTCTGTCACCCAGGCTGAAGTGCAGTGGTGAGGTCTCGGCTCACTGCAACTTCTGCCTCCCGGGTTCAAGCGATTCTCCTGCCTCAGCCTCCTGAGCAGCTGTGATTGCAGGTGCACACCACCACACCCAGTTAATTTTTGTATTTTTAGCAGAGATGGGGTTTTCACCACATTGGTCAGGTTGGTCTCGAACTCCTGAACTCGTGATCAACCCACCTCAGCCTCCCAAAGTGCTGGGATTACAGGCGTGAGCCACCGCGCCCGGCCTCTCTGAAATTCTAACACTGAGACTGATGGGAGTGAATGAGCTGGCTCACCATGGCTGCTACCATGAGCATGAAGCAGCCCCATATCTCACCCCCACAACGTATATGCCCACTCAGTCACCACGTGACAAGAAACATGCCCCATGACCAGCTTTTATTTTGCCGCATGGCCGCCACTCTCCCACTCCAGGCTCTGTTCAGCCTTTTCCTAGATCTATAACCTCCAATCATTTTCAAGGAGCGCTCTTGCAGTAGAAAATTACTGAGCAACAGCCTCAAGAGATGCATGTTTAAATTATATATGTGAAAATACATTACCCAAAACTCAAGACTGAATACTTAGTGAAAGTTCATCCTCAATGATGCTAAATGTTTATCCATATTCCAAACAGCCTTCTTGAGATCTTTGAATGTATTTGACTCACGCTTGGTCTTGCATCCCTTCTGTCATTCAGCAAATAGGCATGGAGCACCTACTATGTGCAGGCATGAGATATGAAAAGATGGCTAAGATGTTGTCCTTCTGCTGGGAGATCACTGTCTGTGGTCACCATCTGCCTTCCATCTGTCTCCCTTTTCACAACATCCTAAAACTCTTTAAGACAATGTTTATGTTTCCAGGTATTAAAAATTAAGGATGTCATTTTCCAGCCTAGGAAATTGCTTTATTTTGATTCAGCCAATACAAGCCAAATGAGTACAATAAAGCACTGATTACTGTCACTGTGCAAATGGTTGGTACCATCACAGCTGGGAGAAGAAACATCATTTAACAGCGGATCTTTATGAGACAACTTCTCAGTAATTGAAATGAATTAACATACTCAAACTGGAAAGAAATTAGCATTCCAGTTCCTGGCTGATCTCTGAAGTCTGAGCAAACAAATACCAAAAAAAAAAAAAAAAAAAAGAAAGAAATTTAATTTTAAAAAATCCTAGAAAAAAAAACAAAGAAATAGTAACTGAACCACAATCCTCATCTTTTTAGCAAACAAGTCTCTCTTCCTCATAAAACTGCCAAATTTCCAGCCTATTTTTTCTCCCAGTGCTCCAAGTAAATATCAAGAACATAGAATTTACTTATCCATATTCCAAACAGTCTTCTTGAGATCTTTGAATATATTTGACTCACACTTGGTCTTGCATCCCTTCTGTTGTTCAGCAAATATGCATGGAGCACCTACTATGTGCAGGCACATAGTTCTTCTGCCACCAAAATGCAGAAAGTTACGGTGGTAGAAAGAGCGTTGGACAGAAGCGTTAGAAGACCACGATCCTACTGATAACTTTTCATCTTTCAAGCCCACATCTTTTTCATTGCAAATGCTCACATCATAGAGTTGTGACAGAATTGAATGAAATTCCACATATTAAAATATTTGCTGTAGTTCCTGGCTTTCATAACATCTTTCCTCAAGAAAGTACCTAAGAAATTAGAGAGTCCTTCACACTGGACTTCATCAGTTCCATGAAGAGAACCACTTATAATTATTTCTCCATTTTTCCTCCCTTCAAGCCCTCAATTTCACTTGCAGTCCAGACTTTCTCTCTAGGTTGTGGCCGATAGAACTGGTACCAATCACCAGGTGACAAATCTAAGGTGTTTCCTCCATCTTTCCTGATCCTGTGACTGTGGAAAGCCAGACTTTCCTGATCCTTCATCTTAGCCTGGAGGGTGAGGGAGTTGCTTCTCAGGATGGAATGAGAAACCAACAGGTGGCCCTGCTTCAAAGTTTACCACTTGATTTATTTGGCCTAAATGTACACACCCAGTGAGATCTTATTTGTGACAGAAATAGAAGGGACTGGGAGCTGTAATACACAGTCCTATTACAGAAAGTCTAACCCAGAAAAAAGCAGACCCGAGAAAACACTAAATATCTAAAAGACTGGCTCTTAAAAAAAAGAATTAGTCTCATTCCACCTAATCCTTTGCAATCAGTGAATGGCAAACTGCTGTGAAAAAAAAAAATCAGTTGATGAAGCTTGGTAATAATCTGGAATCTTTAAAAAGAAAATAGATGATCCTGGAAAACAGTCCTCTGACACTAGAGACATTTAAATAGGGACTGGAGAGCCATTGGCTTTGCGAGGGTGGTTGAATGAGGTGGCTTTCTGGACCCTCTATGCTCTGCGAGCCCTAACTCTCTGTTTTGTTTTAGTTTCTAGATGTCGTGCGGCTGGTTCATCAGAAGTCCTGGAAAGTGGGTGATATCTTCCATGCAGTCGTCCAGTACTGCAAAATGTATGAGGAGCAGAAGGATGGGAGACTGAGTCTCTTTGACTGGCTCCTGGAACTGGGATAAGGCAGTCTGCCCTATAGAGCATTCCTTCCCTTTATTCAGCTTAGATTACAGTGGTTTGTTCTAAATGCTCTAAACGTTCTCAAAACATCACATCACATTAGCAGAGCTATAAAAAAAAAATCTGCTACTCAAATCCACTGCATATAGAATAAATAGGAGGAAAAGCAAAATATAGGTCTGTCCAAATTCATACAACTTGTGGGTGAGTTCCAAAGAGCTTGGATTAGAAGGGCTGGACAAAGAGAAATTTCAATGGGGCCCAAATTATAAGGCTTATAATGAGACCCAGTCTCCAGGAAAACAATGCTCACATATGTTTAATCATATAAAATGATTTGTAATATCTCTAATTAACAAACTCAGTGGTCAAAATAATTTTTAAAAGTATTCTGTAACCTATATTTTACTTTTTGTGATTATGTTAAGGGGCTGCCAGCCCAGGGAAATACTTAAGATATGAGTGAGGAATCCCCAGGCTTTTATACAAAAGATTTCCACTTTCAAACCAATGTCAGTGGACATTGATAAAAGGATAGCAGCATCCCCTACTGAGATGACTTCATTTATTACCTACAGCCCACTGATAAATATCCCACTTCTCCCAAATAGTGTCTGGGCTCCCAGCTAAGCAGAAAACTAGTTTCAATTGGCATTCAACTGAAGAAGAGGAAAATAAAAGATTGTCTTGTTTCCATCCCTGTATTACTTGGGGAACATGATCACATATTCTTATCCTAACAGAAAGCTCTCATATTTAAAAAAAAAAAAAAAAAAAAAAAGTCTTTTCAGATAAAATCTGCTTGTGTCTTGAATAATATGACATACAAACTTCCACTTTATTTTATTATAAATTATAAAGAGATTATTGTCTTAAATAATATATTGAGTTAGCTTCGAGCTTCCTAACTTATGAAGAGATTGTTGTCTAAAGTCACATATTGACATTGAGCTCATGGTTTGTTTCATCACGTGTGTGCTGGTAGCTGTACAGCAGACACGCCACTCCAATGACATTTTTAATGACAGAAGCAGGGTAATGGTCTCATATTTGACATCATCAGTTAGGATCATAGACTTACCCTGACTTGTGGATATTAGCCTTGAATTGGGGGAAAAGAAGATTTTGTCACATTTTAGTTATTTTAATAACAGAGATTTACTCTTTTGAAAAATAAAGGTATCTAATGTCCCTTAATAAGTCTTCTTTCCTTCCAAATAATGACCTACACGGACTTTTATTTTCTTGATCAAAGAGGTGTTTATTAAGGATTTCTGGATATACTATACTTTTACTCTATTTTTCAAGATCACAAAGTAATTTTAAATGTCAACAGGTTCTCATACATGAATGCTGGCCTCACCTGCTCTATCAGCCACATTTTGAAATGCAAAGAAAGCTCCCTTGTAAGCCATCCTTCCTTCCCCACTCCCATCCTAGGATAGTTGCCCAGTGCTCATTAGGCATTTATTATTGAAATAGTCCAAATTTAGGTTATTATGCTTAATTTGACACATTAACCAAATGCCCAGTTTTAAAATATATCCATCAATTCATGCTGAAATGTGCTTCTTTGTGCTATCAAATGGAATAGAATACACTTATTTTTTAAACAATCCCAGAATATTGTGTGTAGACTTTCATTGTGCTCGAATAAACGTTTACTTATCTTACAAAGCACAAATACTGGATTGTAACCATGTGATGAAGTTATCTATGTTGTACCTCACGTTGCAAATTAATCAATAAATCTCTGTTGTCAGATTGTCGATTATTTTTTCTGCAAGAGCTTTAAGCACCTCATAGGAAAAACAGTCACGGGACAATTGGACAAAGGCCTATATATCCCTTAGAAAAGCTTTGTTGTCCTGCTTTCATTTATTGGAAAACATAAAGGTTCTTGGCTTCATTTGTTAAAATCAGTAATATTCATGGAAATCAGTTTCTCAAACTTGGCACTATTGACATTTGGGACCACATCATTCTTTGTTGCAAAGGGTTATCCTGAATATTGTGACGTGTTTAGCAACATTCCTGGCCTCTACCCACTAGATGCTAGTAACCACCCCCTCACAGTTATGATAACCAAAAATATTCCCAGCCTTGCCAAATGTCCCCTGGAAGCCAAAATCATCACTGGTTGAGGACCACTATTGTCAAGAATGCATTGAAGGACCAGGGCCTGAGTCTCTATGAGGTCTTAAAGGAGGAGGTGCCTTCAGCCATCTAGGGAATCCCCATAAGAAGCCTGAAAACTGGGTATTTCCCTACCCAAGACCCATAGAGTGTGGCTTTTGCCTTAAATCTGGGGAATAGGAGAAAGAGGCACAAGACAGACAAGGAGTCTAGAAACCTGGGGATAAACCAACCTAGACTCAACTCAAAGTAAACTCATCAGGGTTAGAGGTAAGTGAATGATGCTCTTTGAATTCAGGAAATAAACTATTAGAATATATGCAAATAGAACATTGAGAATCATGGGCACTTTGTTTTATTCACTAATAAGGAGGCATGAACATGCTTTGAATTCTGCAGTCAGCCAGGGGATATTGTTAAATAAAAACAAACTCTGTACATTAGCAAAGAGAGGCTTCATTTAAACCGATTATGGCACGTGGGGTTGGGGGACTGTTTCAATGGAGGATGGAACTATTGCAATAACAAGAATGCTCCAACCACAAGATCTGCAAATGTGTTAAGGGTTAGGCAAAAAGGAGTTTTTTGTTTGTTTTGTTTTGTTAGAAAGAGAAGTAAATAAGGCTAGAATGAACCAGGTGTGGGGAATGGGATGGACAAGGTGAGCCAGTGAGGTGGCGTGATCACACAATAGATTAGAGAATGTTTTATCCTGAGATCAGCCTGGTCTCAGGAAGGGGCCTTTTCGGGAAGGGCTGTATGCTGGATCATACTGAGAAGGGGCCAACATTCAGGAACCAAGGAAAGGAGAGAAGCTTAACTAAGTTTAGTTACAAGCGCCTGTTCGAGTTGGTCAGTGGGTACAGTTTGGCTAATTCTTTATGAGATAATAAACAAGAATTTGGAGGGTCTGTGTCTGGCCTTGTTAGAATTAAACCAGAGAGTGATCCACGAGTCTTAAGTCATCTGCAGAAGGATGATTCCTTGCACTAAGCTATTTCTGGAACATACTGGTTGGGGGAATTTCCCTAACCATGGCTGTTCACTAGCATCTCAGTTGTCCATATCAAAGACTCAGCAGATAGTCCTTAGGAAACCATTGTCCTTGACATCTTCTTGGGACCCATTGTCTTCCTTTCACAGTGTAAGTGCATGTCCCTTCATTTAATAAACATTTTCCTTGGAACTACTGAGCATTAGGTACTATGCTAGACAGTTGGAATGAAGAACTGAATTACACGGCATGGCACTTAGGGGTTCACAGACTATAGGGGAAATGTACACATCAAAGTCTAACAGAACAACATAATAATGGCTATAATGCAACTCTATACGGACTGGCAAGGCAGGGAACCCTGGGGAATATTCATTGCTACGTGGTGGAGAGAATATTTGAGCTGTTTTTGGGGTATGAGGGAGTCATTTAATAAGTAGGGAGAAGAGACCCTAAACTGCAGAAGAGGGGGCATTCGGAACAGAAGGATCATGAGCAGCAGTCTAGATATGTAGCCTGAGACACAGCTGGAAATTTGATGCAATCGTAACACAGCTATGAGCTGAGGGAGGCACCAGGTGTGAAGCTGGGAATAGAAATCGAAGCCACATTTTAAGAGGCTTTCCATCTATGTGAAGGAGTCCAAAATATATTCTTCTTTTTCTCCCCCCCATAAAGACAGGGTCTTGCTATGTTGCCCAAGCTGGTCTTAAACACCTGGCCTCAAGCAATCCTCCTGCCTTAGCCTCGCAAAGTGCTGAGACTACAAGCATAAGCCACTCTATTTGTCCCAAAATGTATTATTTGAGCATGAATCCTTTTAATCAAAGGAGATGGAAAATTAGAGGTACATGTAAGAAAAATTATATATAATTTTTGAATTATATATAATATGAATGAATGTGTGTGAATTATATGAATTAATGAATGTTTGAATTATATCTAATATGAATGGATGTATATAATTTTTGAATTATATACAATATGAATGAATACATGTGCGGGCCACTGAGTCTTAGCTTTCATTTGAGATAATGCCATGGAAGACAGCTTTGTTCATGGGCATATTCACGTCAGAGGGGTCCCCTCACAGTTCTATGACTTGTTCTTCTCATACAGCACTCTGCACCAGGGGTCTCCAAGACCGACCTCAGACTCAGCGATATGCTGGAAGGATCCACAGGATTCAGAAGCCATGTTTCCACAGTTATGATTTATCACAGCAAAAATGAATGCATTAAGCTCAGCAAGGGGAAAGGGCACACAGAGCAAAGTCCAGGAGAAATAAACGCAAGCTTCCGGGTGTCCCTTCCCAGTAGAGTTGCGCAGGATGCATTTAACTCTCCAATAATGATACATGACAACACAGGCAAAGTGTCACCAACCGGGGAAGCCTTAGTGTCCAGGTCTGGTGCTGGAGGTCAGCCGTGTAGGCATGCAGCACCCACAGGACTGACCTCAGCTACTCATGCTCCAGCCTCCACTACACACCAGAAATGGATATTTATGATACATCCTATTATTAGAGTAAATTATGTGGTCAAAGTGGTATAGCATGGCCCAAGGCCTCAGGCACACAAAACACTCTTACCAGGCAGAACATTCCCAAGGCTCAGCGCTTAGCTCTTAGGAACCAGCCAAAAGTCAGTCCTGGAAATAGACCTCTTTGGAGAATGTGCAGGGTTGGAACAACCCAGGCATCATGAGTTAACCCTTTCCTGCACAAGCACTTATCACCATCTGCCTTCTAGCATGGTACATTGTGTACAGGTGGCCTCCGTTGCTGATTGTGAATTCCTGGAGGATGAAATCACATTTTACTCATCTATGAATTCCGCCATAGTCCCTAGCGCAATAGCAGATGTTATGTAGACCTGGAAAACGAATAGGCCTTGGAGAACTGAGGCCTTGGTTTATGTCTCATAAAGTTCAGCCATTAATTCTAAAACTGCAGTTGTATTTTTATGCTCTTCTTAGCTTATTAGAGACTGCTACCTGGCATATAAATCTGCTCAGAATTTGTGAAATTACTTTTGGATTCAGGCAAGTGAAGCGTTCTACAAACATTTGCATGTTATTGGAATTGTATAAGAATGTTTGACCTAAAATATTTTAATACCACAAAACTGAGAATATTTTAGAGGTATTAGAATGAATTTCAGTGATATTCAGGACATTGCCAGCAGAACTTGGAGCCAATTGAGTGCAGGCAGGTTCAAATGAAATGAACAGAGGAAGGAAAACATCCTTTGAGCCTCTCTTGCTCCCAGCAAAACTTGTTTGTGCACAAACAAACAAAACGTTAATCCATCTTTATTGTTGCAAAGATCCTTTCACCAACTAAATTTATCCTGAATAATTCCTTCAAAAAGGCCCTCTCAAAAGTCCTCTAATTTCCCATTCTTCCTTTCAGCGTTCACAGCTCCTTTCTGCAAAAATGGAAGGGAAGGCCTTCTGTTCCTTGGAGATGGCCTTCCAATAAACAACTATCAACATGTTTTTATTTCTTTTTGGAAGATTCCCACCACTTCGTTGAACTCCATCCCATTACTATACCCTTCATTCTGTCAGTTTCTGGTCCAGAACCTGGCAGGGACTCCTGATTTTACAATGATGCTCTGAGCACTCAAAACCCAGGTGCCAAGATTGTTTTATGGCAAATTGTGATGTCCTCGGGCTGAGTATCTGGCCCAAATATTTATATGCACACAACCTGTCTCTCTCTTGGCTTGTCATAAACAACAGCATGCGGGACAGATAAAGCAGAAACAAGAGTTTCTCTTCTTACAGAGGAAGGTAGAATTAAGGCTCTTTGTTGAGACAGCATAAAGGTGGATGAAACCAAGACAGCCTCTAGCTTTAAGTACCGTGGATCCTTCTCCAGGCCCATGTGTGACATTTGCGAAGGATACTCTTGCCGACTATTTCAAGCAACAGGACACAATTATTTTAAACCTAACAATATTTTTAGTAATCAGGGCAATAGACCACATGTTGTCCTTTTATGAAATGCATAGAAATGCCAAAAAAAAAAAAAAAAAAAAAACCACCTCACTGAATTAGATCAGTTATTACCCTCCGTATTTTTGACAGCAGAATCTTATTTTAAATTTTCATTGCAGGATTATAGTATTGGAGAGTTCTAGGCTCTCCAATCTATTTACCAAATGTTTTTGATACTTCATTTTTAATCTATGTTTTAATATAACAAGTGCGTGAATAATCTGATACATGAGACCATTTCTAACTGAACATTTTGTACATTGCTGTCTGCCAGAGAGATGATACCAAGGAAGGAGCAAAACAATTGTCTGGGGTGTGGCAAGCCACGTGAAGGTTAGAAGAGGCTTGCTCCTAAACATCCAGGAACAGTTTGTTTCTTTGTTTTCTAAATGCCTGGAGCAAGAGTCAGAGAAATCAAATTTTGAATAATTATTCCCAAAGAGGTCAGGAAAACTCTGAGAGTGTTGAGTGAGACAAAGAAAAAATGTAGCTACAATTCTTAACATTTTTATGGCATAGGCTTTTATTAGTCCTTTCTCGTGCTGCTATAAGGACGTACCTGAGACTGGGTAATTTATAAAGGAAAGTAGTTTGACTCACAGTTCCACAGGGGTGGGGAGGCCTCAAGAAACTTACAATCACGGTGGAAAGGGAAGCAAACCATCCTTCTTCCTGTGGCGGCAGCAAGGAGAAGTGCAGAGCGAAGTTGGGGTGGGGACAAGCCCCTTATAAAACCATCAGATCTCGTGAGAACTCACTATCATGAGCACAGCACAGAGGTCACTGCCCCCATGATTCAGTTACCTCCCACCAGGTCCCTCCTACAACACATGGGGATTATGGGAGCTATAATTCAAGATGATTTGGGTGAGGACACAGCCAAACCATACCGAGGCTCTTTTGAAAACCTGAGAAAAGCTGCAAATACACAAAATTTAGAGGTT